GCTCCAGCCGGCACCGGAAGCGCGCCGTGGTCGGCGAGACCCACAGGAAGTGTGTAACGACACCTCCTACGACGTGCACCGCGCTCGCAGGAGTCGCTGCCCGGAGGTGGTGCGGACCGACCGTCCTGCAGCACACACGCGCGCTTGCCGGAAAGGTTTGGGACAACCCGTCGTACGCGCGCGGGAGTTAGTTCCCACCGCCCGGACAGGTGTGGGAGCCACGTTCTGAGGTGCCCAGCCCCGCCGCCGTCACACACCGCGGGCCTGAGGTCCCTGCTGTCTTCTAGTGCCTCACACCCCAACCTAAAGCAGGGAGCTGACAGAACCTGCCCCGTTCGTGACGTGCGTGGCACCTGTTATGAAGCACTGAGTAGAGTCCTCTCCACACCCAGGGATGTGCCGGAACACTTCTGTCCGACGTCCTACCACACAGTTTACCGTCACTGATGCCCCGTGGAGATGTCTGACATTCACCTGTGACACACCTATCCCACCCAGGGACGGGGACTGTTTAGTAGCATCTAAAGCTCACACCAACTAATGTTAGAGCACCCCAGGGACACCAGACCACTCCCACGGGACCGGGCACAAGAAAGGCAAGATTGGACCTTTATTTTAACTAACAAAACACTTCCACAGCACTTACCAAGAACTTAATATTAATTTATTTAAATCTAAGAACTCTAGGAAGTGGGTGCTGTTAGCATTACCATTTTTTGAATAAGGAAACTGAGGCCTAGAAAAATTAAGAAATCTGTTCAAGATCATATAGAAAGTAGCTAGAGGGGAAGAAAAAAAAAAAGTAGCTAGAGGAACCCAGATTCATCCCAGGCAATCAGGCTCTAGAGTCTATGCTCTTAATTCCCATTATATTCACAACTCTATCTTCAAAACAATAATGTTTGCAATATGCAACATTTGCAATATGTCTGATGAACCTTATGTGATGCCCACATCTTAGCCTCACTCCATCTAGTACAGTAAAGCCTTAGTTACTCCTACCTTTAAGGTAGGTAATGGAAGAGTATGACTGAACAAAAGAGAAAGAATCCAAGGTCATCCCAAATCTGGACAGCTAGCTTGCACTGCCCCGTTAGTAAATTATCTTATATGTCAGCCCTTCTCAATCTGGAGCCCATTCAGGTTAATAATACCATCCCATATCAACACCCTTCCTGGGCTAGAGTGAATGAAATTAATGTGTTAATGTTTTTGATACTTTTGAACAAAAAACAAACACAAATCTCATAGTTAATTGCTACATATTCCAAAGATGTGATCCTGTGGAGAAATTGGAACCCTTGTGTACTATTGATGAAAATGTGAGAAGGTACAGCCACTACGCAAAACAGTATGGAGGGGCCTCAAAAAATTATAAATAGAATCACTGTATGATCCAGTGAATCTCACTTCTGAATATATCCAAAAGAACTGAAGGAGGGGCTGGGATTGGGCGGGACCCAGGTTCAATCCTCAGCACCACATAAAAATAAAGGCATTGTGTTGTGTCCATCTACACCTAAAAAAGAAAAGTAAATATTAAACAAAAAAAGAAAAAGAACTGAAGGCAAGGTCTTAAGAGTTGTCAGCACCCTATGTTCACTGCAGCATTATATACAATACCCAAGAGGTAGAAGCCACCCTGCCAGATGCGTGGAATGGATAAAGAAAATGTGATTTATATTTATAATAAAATATTATTCAGTGCTAAAAATAGGAAATCTGTCACATGCTATAACATGGAGAACTTGGAAGACCATTGAGTGAAATAAGTCATTATATATATGCAGCTGAGACCACACACTCACATGCACCTGCCCAACTCTTGTTTTAATTTCGTTTTTTCTTTAATTTTTTTCCCGTGTGCTAGGTAGGTATGGAACCGAGGTCCTTGAGCAAGCACTCTACCACCGAGCCACATCCCCAGTCCCATGGCTTCTAATTTGGTCTTAAAGTCTCTCTATAGAGTGATCACAGCTGAAATGGCCACCTATTTTAGGAGAGTCCTGACCAGGGGAAATTTAGGTTCAAGTGTGTTAGATAAGACATAATGGGGCTGGGGATGTGGCTCAAGCAGTAGCGCGCTCGCCTGGCATTCGTGTGGCCTGGGTTCTATCCTCAGCACCACATTCAAACAAAGATGTTGTGAGCGCCGAAAACTAAAAAATAAATATTAAAATTCTCTCTCTCCTCTCTCTTAAAAAAAAGACATAATGAGGTGAAAACAAAATGGATGAAACACAAATTTATTACTCCCAGATCCCAGGAAAGTCAGAAGTGCTGACAGACTGTCATGAAGTCTGGGGGCAGGAAGCAGCTCGTTGAAGCAGGTAAAGAAGAAAAAGATGAGAGGTTGAGAAAAGTGAAATTATAGGACTACGCATTTATTAAGGACTACGGGCATTATGTCCTAGACTTTCTGAGGGAGTTATGAATTGGCTGGTTTAAAGAAAATACTTGCAAAAAGGGAGAATTTATTAACAGAACTCTGGTATTGACTATTAAGTTTTATCGTGGCCAGCAGCTGTGGGATACCTTGGGTTTGGGGTCACTGGGATGAGGGAAAAGTTGGTTATATCACAAACTACCACACAGGGAGAGGAGGTTTTAACTAGGTCAAAGATGACAGGGTACAACTGGGTTCCAGATAACTTATATCAGGCCTAAAAATGGGTATCTAAGCAGCAACTGTATTAAATTAATGACACTGCCCCAATGCTATGACACTGTCAGCTTTTCATCACTGTGACCAAAATGCCTGACAAGAACAAGTTAAAGGGGCTGGGGATGTGGCTCAAGCGGTAGTGTGCTCACCTGGCATGCGTGAGGCCGGGGTTAGATCCTCAGCACCACATACAAACAAAGATGTTGTGTCCACCGATAAATAAAAAATATTAAAAAATTCTCTCTCTCTCTCCCTCTCTCACTCTTTAAAAAAAAAAAAAGAACAAGTTAGAGAAGGAAAAGTTTAATGC